GATGTATCGGATTTGTTTTTCTTAAGAGCGAAAAAATAACCAAAATGTAAATTAGTCAGGCATAGTCAGTTAGGAGTGGCGCAATTGGAAATCAAGCGAGAAATTTGTGTAAGAAATGAGTTGGTGCATTGATCACCTAAGAATTTCGAACAAAAAATAACATCACTTCTTATTCCACTGCGTCCTTGGCATTCAATTTTTTTTTTGTGAATTAAAAATTTTTTAATTTGGAACTTTGGCCTTACTCTCTATAATTCCTTTCTGTTTCTTTTTTTTTTTTTTTCTATTACACCTCGCAAAATCGGTTTAAATTATTTGTAAATAAATAAACCAAAAGTTAAATTAATGTAAACAAAACAGTAGAGAAATTAATTATAAATTTCATGTTGGAAAATGTTATGGAGTACTGATTTTTGCTTAAAAATTTTCCGTAGTTATAAATGTAATAAAAAATTATATAAATTAAGGGAAATACTTGCATTTGATGTAAATATGTAAAGAAATGAATTTGAATTGATTTGAATTGAAATGTTCGGAAAGAGCGAATAGTAGAATGTATGGAAGCGGCGTACTCACCTTGCGGAGAAACTGATAATTCGGCAGCAGACTGCAGTTGCGAGTTAAAACCTGAAAGTGAAGAAAGGCCTGTTGAGAACAGTGTAAATGCGTATAATTTAATATGTTCGCGGAAAGCTACGCAACATTACCAAAAGATTTAAATCTATCAAGTTTTCATCTCCAAAAGCTTGCATGCAAAGTGTGAAAGTTCGAGCTATGCCTTCAAAATACTTCAAAATATGTACCTACCTTCTAAATTGTAATATATCTACCTCTCAGGGCCAAATTCTTTCGTAGTATATATATCTCACACTTTACTGATTCAGACCGGTTATGTCGGTCGGTTCAGTGTCGATCAAGGAGAGCTTTAGCACTGTGTTCGTTCATATAAATAATATAAAAAGTTTTTTCTCTCCATGCACCAAAAAAAAATTATATAAAGTTTAAAGAAGCTCCGCACTCGGCAAAGCGTCACTCATAGCCGATCTGAATCAGTAAAGTGTGAAATGTATCCTACGGGAGATGCTTTTTCAGGCTTTCTAAAGATCTTATGTATATGGAAACCCCCGGAATAAAAGCTCTCTTTGGTTGTTTTAAGCTCATGATATATTTTATACAGACTATCACCTTGTAAAAGCTCACTAAAGTCTAAAAACAAGCAAAAAGGAAAAAAGCTCTGGGAGCTTTCACTACAAAGCACTTCATCGTCTAAGCTTTCGCCCAGTATTACTTAATCTAAGTAGGCCGTTTCATTCCCGTGGTCATGCACGTTGAGCTTTTTAAGCTCACAATATATTTTATAGAGACTGTCACCGCGTAAAAGCTCACTATTATCTAAAAGATCTTTAATAAGCACAATAAAACTTCGCCGTGGACTACATTTTAGTGGCTACTGCACAGAAGCCAGAAATACTTTCAGGCAGCTTTCACTACAAAACACTTTATCGTCTAAGCTGTCGCTCAATATTACTACTATATATTACTAAAAAAATATACTCACCAGCTAACGCAGCAGGATCTAAACCGCTCATGGGGAAATTGAAGGGGCCTGGCGGAAATAACTTGCTCTCTGCCGGTGACATCAGATATGGTGGCGGTGGATGTTGTTGCATATTGTTATCGATTTCCTCATCGTTTCCCGAACTGTTGAGCATGATGAATTACGATTAGCCCACAAGTACATACAACACCCAAAAGCTCTAATTTTGCTTACCTCAAAGAACCTTTGCCGCCTTCGCCGCTAATGGACCGATTCGCCTCATGTTCACCAGTAGAATCATTGCTGTGCTCATCGACTGCTGTCGGATTGTTATTGGAGCAGACCAGTTCCATGGGTTCCGATTTGACGTCGTCAGCAGTGCGTGTCAGCGGTGAGGCTGTTAAGCTGCCGCCTACTTTGTCGCTATTGGCGTTTCCATTACCATTGCCAGTGTCGCTATTGCCATTATTACCATTGCCGGAGGGTCCATTACCTAAAAAGTTGATTCATAGTTAGAATAAAGCTGTGAATACTTCATCATTTTTCGTCGAGCATACACTTACGTTTCTCATCCTTAAGAGGCGGTGTGTTGTTATTGTTGTGCTTGATGGTTGAGAAATCGGCCGGTGTCAATTGTGGTGACGAACTGCGTGGATGGACAATTTCCGGGCTGTTATTACTGCTCGACGGCAAACCGTTATCGGGTCCACGTAAACGTTTCATAGCATTATTCGAGTCCTCAGCCGATGGTGTGGAATTGTGACGTTCGCGTCTGAGCATAGCCATGCTGCGCTTAAACAGCTGACTGTTGATGTGTGTGGAGGCCAATGGCAGCTGTTGTGTGGGTGGGGGTGGTGGAGGTGAGCCACTGCTGCGCGAATATAACGCCGGCTCATCGTGGGGGGCAATGTGGTGTGCGTTGTGGGGCGTGCGTGTAGCGTTGGCGGCATTCGCCAAATTTTGTATATGAGCTAATTGCTGTTGGAGGGACAAAGCGAAAGTGGATATTAAATGAGGAAAGATGATGATGATGACAAATACGTATGTGTGTATATTAGGGTGGTGCTTAAATATATCCACATCATGGAGCACATATCTATTTTGTTTTACGTACGAAATAAAGACATTCAAGAAAATTTCAAAACTACAAAAATTGCTTAGGGGTTTTGAAAAATTGATTCTGTTTTTTTAAATCGCAAAATTTTGATTTTGACGACCTATGGCACAACGAGCTTACGGATAAGTTTCAATAGTTTGTAAAATTTATCAAATTTCAAGTCAAAATTTTGTCGAAACTTTGCCATTTTTTTTATTTTAATTAAAGCGGATCCCTAAAAGCTTTTTAACATTTTGAAATTTTCGTGAATATCTTTATTTTGTACGTAGAATAAAATAAAGTGGTGCATCATAAAAAACTTAGACTTTGATATTTTAGGTACCACCCTAATGGATATATCTATGCATATTTCTTTTGCGGAAAACTTACACTATGAGTTTCCTCGGCCTGTTGCTGTGTGAGACCAGAGACCCGAAGTACCTCTGCCGTTTTAAGGAAGGACTGCAAGGATTTTTGATGCACATTCACCTCGCCGTGATAGATAAATTCAACCAGCGAGTGCAGATCGAGAAAATTGACATCCTGCAGGAGAATCACTGGATGTTTGCAAGGTGTGCTCTGAAAGAGGGAAAATAAAATGCAGAAATATGTTAAATTTAGGCTAAATGGCTAAAACGCAAATATGTATTTAAATATTTATAGCTGAATTGTTTCTTTCAAATTTAGACAGAATAGGGAGGCCTGGAGGTTTTCTTTCGGGACCTAAGTTTGATATTTCAACACAGGAGAAGACAGGAGGCATTAGTGGAGATATTTACGTCAAACTACTTGAAAGCAAATTCGTAATTTTTTTTTGTCATGCTATCTTCTTCACTCTCATCACATTTATTTATTTACTAAATTAACAACTTTCCTGTTTGCAATAAATGCATACATACACACATACATACATATGTATTTTCTTGAGATTTTAGTCGATTTATTTGTTCATTCTACGGCGCAACCTTCAACATTCGTCATTTATTTAAAATGTCAGCAGCTCCGATTTGAAGTTGGCGAATGCGTTGTGGAATGCAATGTGCAATAAAACAGAGTGCACACAAATACGCACTCGTATGTATGTTTGTATGTACATACATACATAGTATTTTATATATCATCGTTTGCAAATCTGTGCAAATATACACTGCAATGCACTGCTGTAGATTTTGAAATATACATACATACATACGTGCATACGTGCCTGTGTGTGTGTTTGTGCGAGTGTGATGTTCGCGCGTAGATTTGTGTGTGACTTCATGGTCACGGCGTTACAACAAAAATAAAATGGTGAAGTGTCTGATTTGTGCGTGGCTTGTTTATTTAAAAACAGCTACACACACGCACATACATGTAATACACTTGCTACTTGATTGTTGTTGTATGCGCGCGCGTGTGCATGTGTGTGTGTGTGCAATCGTATGCCATCATTAATATATGTATTTTGTTGTCTGCCTTTGTTAAAGCTAACATTTACAACGGCAACCTAATGCAATGGGCAGCGGCAGGAGCGGGGGATGTTGACGGGCAGTCGGCGAGGCGGCGAGGCGGCGAAACAGTGAGACAGTGAAATTCATACGCTGCCTTGCAAAATGAGTGAGTGGCTATTTTCATAAATACATATGTAGCTAACTACGAGTAAAGGTGTTATTGCTGTTGTTTTTCGCGTTTTGCACAGCAAGCTTTGTGAGTTTAGTACTACAAGCAGACTTATATAAGTACCCTGTGGGGGAAATCTCTAGTTCTGAGGTGGTGCGCTTCTAGTGCATTTAGAACCTTCGCGATAAATCTCTTTTGCATTCAAAGAACTAGCGAATTAAACATGGCGATGTCCTAGGAAGTGTCATTTGCCCCCCGCTGTATCCCCTTTTCGATAGTTCCGAAGTAGTCCTAAATTCGCCACCTGAGATATAGATTTCTAATGAAAAAAGTGAAATAAAATATTTTTTTAAAAGTACTACATTTCGCTGATTTTGAACTGGTGGAGACTAGTCCGTTTTTGTCCATAAAGATCTGGTACGGAACTAGAAACTTGATTCACTACTTCGCGGTTTTCCTGCAGGGTACATACATATCGTTATCTTAATACCTATAGAACGGCCCTATCTCACATCGTCGCTGAAATACAAAAATCCGTAACTAAATAAAAATCCAAAATTCCCTTTTTGATCAACTATGATGCATTTCTTAGAATTATAAGTCCCCTCAACATTTTAAGCAATAAACATTTTTTGTCAGTGATGGCTTTTTTGCATTTCAGCGACTTAGCGAGTTAGGGCCTTTCTATATTAAGGTAACCATATGTATGTATCTACTAGTATTTTCCAGAGCAGTGGCAATGTAAATTTGGCTGTGTGTTTGTCTGTCATACATACATACAAACATACATATGCAACAGCCCTTTGACTTTCCACCAGCAGCAGCGGAAGCAGTAAAATAGCAGCACCATTGCAATTGAGCCACATACAAAGCAACAACAACAATCAAACACTTGAATAGTGATCACCATCGCATTGCATTGCATTGCATCTAGAAATTAGGTCAGCCAACAAAAGCAAGCGAACAAAAAAAGTGTTGTATGCATGCATGTATGTAGGCGTGTGTGTAAGTGCATACATGGGCAACCAAAGGCATCATCAATAGCACCAATCGCTATTGCAGCGCTACTTACATACATGCATGCATGCATATGTAGATACTGCTGATGAGCAGATGAAGAAGACCTGCTGCTACATGCATATAATACGCCCAATGGTGATGGTGCGATCGACTGTTGATGAAGTGAGAGTCTCGAAGCACAGCCCGCCGCGATAAGTATTTGCCTCTTGCGTATTTTCACGCAGCTGCAGCTCTACTCTCTATTAAGGCTGCTACTTATTTTTTCTTTCTTTAATTGCACTTCTACCAACTCATTTTTTTTGTGGTGCTCACTTTTCGATAGCGCCAACCTCTAGAAGTTCTCGAATAATTTACAAGTTCTGCGCAGATATCATTTTGTTGTGAATATGTACATATGTATGTGTATGCATCTGCACCACATGTCTGCTTTGTGTATAACTGCGTTCACTATTTATTGCATTCTTCTCTCCGGCGGGATTGTTTCTATTTTTACTACTTTGCTGCACGATCGACCGTCAAAGCAGCTATCGTCATGGGGGCGCGGGAGAGGGACACTAGTGGCTGCAGATGTTGCTCGGAGTTGGAGTATACGCTTCGTTGCCTGCCTGTTTTGGAAAATGAGGTCAGCAGCAACTGGCGATTGCAAAATCTGGCTTAGTATATATTTGTAAATAGGCGCACACGTGTACGCATACCAGCAAAATGGCACTGTCACATACATACAAATGAACATAGCATTCAAGCAAATGTTGGTGGGTTATATACATAATACATACATATTTATATATATATGTACACAGATATTTATGTACATATGTGTGCAAGTATTTCGCTGAATTGTTTTGCTGCATCTTGGCCTTTGGAATTTATTTGTGATTATAAATTAAAGTTTATGATCTATAGAAAGTGGGACAGCTGCGGGAGATTGCTTTTGAATTATATATATGTATATATTTTATTTGTTTTCATACTTGAACTGTATTTATTGCTTTATTTATCGTGATTGATAGGGCGCATATTTGTATGAGACATTTAAGGATTTGTACACTTGAGAGTGCTCTCGTACCCATTCCTCACAAGACCCAACAATACCCAAAATGTTTGATTATTTTGTGTAAAATTTCTTGCTTAAAGTAAAGATATATACGTTTTTATGTTATGTATGTTCAACGATTTAAGCGACCGTGAAGCTGTTTTTAATGAAAATTTTTTTTTGAAAACAAAAATAATTCAGAGTGGTCTTCCCACGGAGCTTAGTTCACCCCATGCAAACTGTTGCTGCCATCGAATAGTTTCCTAAGTAAAAACACTATCAGATGATTGCCCAAAAATGCCTACAGCTGAGATCGCCTGTTTTTTGGCATTTGCTTTTATCTTTTACTATTTCATTCATTTCTATTACAACTTTTTTCCATTTCTATTACAATTTATTCAAAACACACTAACACATTGAACCAAAAACACCATACACTAACCAAAACACACCTACAGCCGGCCAGGAAACGAACGGTAATAAGAAGAGTTACTCTACTTATGAAACTGTACGATATTTGCTTCCTTATCCACTTTTCTCCGTTTTGTCAAAATTTATTATAAAAATGTTTATTTGAATTAAAATTTTTTTATTTTATTTTTAATTATGGATTTAATGGACTAGTTTTACGTTAGTTCACCTCGAATATGGCTCGTTTTCTTGTACTTAATATGAGCAATAACCTCCGTTGTCTCCGCCTCTTTTCACGTGCACTTCTCTACTTTCTTTTTTTTTCCAGAAGATGATGAGCATTAGAAGAGATTGTAGGTTTTATCGATATTCCTGAATATATGTATAGATATCGAGTTGTTCATAGCCTTCTGAAAGGCCTTACAATGAAAGTGCGTTCTTTGTGATGTGCAAATATTTTTTTATAAATTTTTAATAAAATTTTTAATACAGGCTTTGGAGGACTTAGCCATGGAGCGATACTGAGTTGAACAACGTGTAAAAGTGATCAAAAAGTTTTATAAAAATGGTCGTTTTGTAAAAAGTGTGGGGTGCTGAGAATCATCATGTTATTCAAGAAAAAATTATGCAGCTACAACAATTCACTATTTGATTTGGCTTTTCGGCTGGCTTACTCATCAGACCGTAGTTCTTCGAAAATGATGTCGGTAATGCTGTTAGTGGAAGCGTTATCGTGACATGATAACAAACTTTGTATGGCCTGAGTTAGATGACATGGACTTGGACAATATGCGGTTTCAACAAGATGGCGCCCACTTGCCACACAGTGCATGAAACAATGATGGGATTGGATTTTTTTTTTAGTATAGTCCATTGTCTGTCAACCTTAGTAAAGTTACGGTGAAATATTTTAGGTAGATGTAAAAAATTATTTACGATAATAAAACTCTTCACAAAATATTTTGTTCAAAGTTTCCCCCTTTAAAGTATTTTGTTTTATTTTCGGAACATACTCCGAACCCGCCTAACTACATACATATTATACTATTTTAAGTAGCAAAAATGTTGTTGGTTAAATTATTAGTTTGAAAATTAGTGAAACAAAACTAAGCTGAGCCAACGAGCTGGCGATAAAAACAATGGCTTTAAATAAATATGTAGAAGTGTCGCCTTACAATTTCAGTTTTGTTTCGCTGTTGCGCTGGCCAACTACTTATCCATGTACTTACTTACATAAATTCAGTGAAAAAAGTTGAAATCAAAAAAGCAACACAAACAACAATATGGCGCACAAAATAAGCCACTTTGCGAGGCGACATAAATTCAACTAACTTTCTGCCTTTATTCTCCACTGTTGTCGGTCGTCATTTTGTTGCGGGGTGTGACTGTGAGTGCGAGTGAGTCTTAAGTGCCACTATTGCGTTGGGCTTTGTTTGCAATTTGTTTTTGTTCTTCATGTCTTTTGACTATTTAAATACGTTGTTTTTGCGTGGTGGGTTTGTGCTTTTCTACGGCA